ACTAATGATAATGTCACAGGGGACTGAATCAAAAGCCTTACTGAAGTCCAAGTATATTAGATCCACCATTCACTAAATTCCTGTAAATCCACTAAATTAGTTACCCCATCAAAGAAGGAAATAAAATTATTTTGTCCCAAGGTGTTAACACATCCATGTTGGCTGCTATTGATTGCCCACTTCTTCTTCCTGATGTTTACAAACTGAAGGCACTTGTACATGTGATGGTTGTCATGATGTACATGTGACAAAAATGTAATTTGTGGGGCTTAATGGCATCACACATTACATGTGCGGATGTAGTTTAGTTTGCAATGATGCATTGCAGCTGTCAGCTTGCGCCCCTGGCTACAAGACAGGTGGGCAGGCTCTGCAGAAAAAAAAGGATTGGGCTCCTCTCCACTTCCCCTTTAAAAGCCCACCGTTTCAATTTAGGGGGTATAGAATAAAACCCTGAGAACTAAATCCCTATCACATGTACAAGTCCTGTGGCTGTTTTATAATGTGTTCCAGCAATGTCTTGACATAAGGACCAAAGAAATCATGGACTACTTGGACTTTTTTCTCCCCCCACAAATGTTTACGATGGGAACCACGCTATCTCCACTCCTCTTGGATCTTATCGTTTATCCATGATTTAGCAAATATTGTTTTCAGTGACTTTGAGGAATCTTCAGGCAGTTCCTCCAGCACCTGAGATAAATTTTGTAAAGCCCCGCTGCTTGAATTAATTCGTTTGTCAAAGAGTTCTGACATGGCCTTTGCTCACTGTGATCTAAAGCCCTCTTCTTGTAGTTCATTAGCTATTTGGTTGCAGTGCTTCTGTTGTGAAAACTAAGGCAAAGTAATCAATGAGCAGTTCTACCTTCCTTGAGTGTTCTGTTAATAAATAATCTTCATTCTCAGGCAGCAGACCACAGTTCCTTTGATTTCTCTTTTCTATCTGCCATTTATAGAACCCCTTCTTACCATCTGTAATATCTTTTGCCAGTTGCATCTCATTTTTCCCTTTCCTTTTCTGCATGCCTTGTGTTCCTTGGCATACTTTCTTAGTGGTTCACCTTTCTTGCCACCAACTGTATGTTTCTGGTGACTTGGAGGAGCTGCTTAGTTAATTTATGTCAGTTAACTAAGGTGTAGAATTGACTGACAGTGAAGCTGGATAGACTGTCATGATGCGCAAGGCTAGATTTTCCTTTATGAATCTGAATAAAAAAAATGTGCATTTAACTACAACAGCTTCAGGACTAATGACACAGTATCTTCCAGCTATTTTTGCCTAGTGTCTTGTGTTTATTACACTGTATATGTAATCTAGCAAATGAGTGCACATTCCAATAGTAATATTTGTGCATGCTTTGAGTTTAAGCTGAATGCTATAGTGCTGCTACCCCTGTTCCTCTGCCCCATCATCATAGTTTTTAGGGTCGGAAGAGACCTAAACTGATCATCAGGTCCGACCCCATGCCCAGGGCAGGAATGGGTGCCGGGATCATATCACCCCAGCCAAATATCTGTCCAGCCTCCTTTTGAAGATCCCCAAGGTAGGAGAGAGCACTATCTCACTTAGGAGCCCATTCCAGAGCAGAGCAGCTCTGACTGTAAAGTAATGTCTTCTGATGTCCAGCCTGAACCGTCTCTCTAACAATTTCTGGCCATTATTCCTAATCACTCCAGGTGGTGCCCGGGGGAACAGAGCCTCCCTCAATTCCCACTGGTCCCCCCTGGTGAGTTTGTAAACAGCCACCAGATCCCCTCCCGGCCTTCTTTTGTGGAGGCTGAATAGGTTCAGGCTCTTTAGCCTCTCTTTGTAGGGCTTGCTCCACTGCCCCCTGACCATGTGAGTGACCCTCCTCTGGACCCTCTCAATGCTAGCCACATCCCTCTTGAAGTGTGACGCCCAGCACTGGACGCAATACTCCAACTGCGGCCTGACCAATGCCGCATAGAGAGGAATGATCACCTCCCTGGACCTGCTTGTGAGGCATCTGTAGATGCACAGCAAGGTGCAGTTAGCCTTATTGACCACTTCCTCGCATTGGTGGCTCACGTTCATCCTGGAGTCAACAATGACTCCAAGGTCCTTTTCTGCCACCGTGTTGACAAGAAGGGTGTTTCCCAGCTTATCATATTAGTAAAGCTTCTCATTTCTAGAGAAAAGGCTGTATTATAGTTTCATAGTTTTAGGGTCGGAAGGGACCTAATAGATCTTCTAGCCCGACCCCCCGCCAGGGCGGGAGAACAACAAAAAAACCCTAAAAACAAAAACGGG